AAAAAAGGAACTGGCTTCGTCAAGACTTGACATCTTAAAAAAATCTTTAAATGCAGTCTAGGACAAAGTCAAGTCTGAAAGGGACCGTGGAACAACATAGGTGTGCTGAAATCTGAATGCAGAAATTGCATAGTCTGTGATGACGTCAAGTCATACGCTCTGAAACCTAGGGGCTCTCATGACCCTCAGCTCATCTAAGTTGTGGGGAAGAATCTCTAAGAAATACGTGTCTCAGAAATACGTGTTTTAGGAATACATGTCTAGAATTCTGACCAGCCGTAGGCTATAGATTTAACCGGCTGTATAATGACTCCTTAATTGTAATCCTTAAGAATTCAGGCACTGGCACAGAATGCCTGTGCAAGAAGAAGACATAAACAGCTCAAGGTCTCGTGTGTGCGGTCATTGGCGCGGTTGGCACTCCACTAATGTACCATCTTATGATTCATGAAATTTAGGCTCAATCCATCCAATTTGAAATGCAGAAGACAGCAGAAGAAATTAGGAAAAAGTGAGTATTGTGAGTGGGATACAGGTCATAACAACCAAACCAGCGAAGGCAACTCAGCCTTTGTTACTTATAGGATTTTGGACGTAGTGATGTGAAAGGATTCTCGATTAAAGATTTGCCTTTATTTTGATTTGTACCATGTTTGACGCCTTTCCCAGCATTAGAGAGATTAGCATGCGTTTTCGTGAAACGGCAAACGTTAGCTTGCCCTTTAACGTTTCGCATAAAATAGCGTAAAGGAAAGAGAGAAATCTTACGTAACGGCAAACACGAAGGGTACTTTCACGTACGTAGAAACGGCAAAGCGCAACCGGCAAACGTGAGAAAATGGCGGGAAAAACGTCGTTCACATTTCACGTAAACGCGGTGCTAAATCTCTTAAAGTCAGCGCTCATTGACCACGATAAGTGTTCAAAACCGAAACTAGATCATAAGACCATTAGCACACCAATTTACCGAAACTGTTGTTTTTATATATTCCCAGGTTTGAAATATCCACCGTGGAGGAAGCAACAACAACAGCCCCCGTTACTGACTTTCTTCAGGGTGCTCACGACAACTTGTTTTCAAAACTTTTCTACTCGTGACAAGAGCATAGATATGTCGTTAGTTCCGAATGGCTGGTCGTAAATGTAGCGCGTCTTGATAACACTGGGCGAGATGAAAGAATTGCAAGCTCTATGAAGTTTCCACAGTAAATAACCAGAGATATCAGTACGTTTTGTACGGGTTGTGATCGAAGCAAGAACGTGTCTCGAGCGCCGGAATGCTACAGCACGCGAAGGACTGCAAGGCAGTGAACAATTTGGATAGTCCAGATAGATATAATAAAGACACACGAAACTGTGTATTTAAATTATTACAATTGTATTAGATACCAAACTTGGCTCTGATGATGACTTCCGCTCAGGTTGTTGAGACGTCAATCATTTCAATCGGAAACAGTCCTTCTCAGGACTATCCAGACTACACGATCATACCAAATTTTATTTACTGTTAACTCTGGAAATAATCTTTACAAAAATTTTCAAATATTTAAATCCGATTGCGCGAAAAAGCTATTCGTTAACTGTGTTCAAAAGTCTATTAATTCTATTTTTTTAAATTTTTTCCCTTCATATTGCAAAGTGCTCAAAGTTCTCGTTTGTGAAGTCGCTTTCATCAAAAGACAATGAAGACATGGAATAGGTCAGAAGTGACCTTCCCGAGTTATCTGACACCGCCCTTCTTCGGAGACCAGGCGAGGCTTCGTCCCTATAATACCTCTCCGAAGACTTTTCGGCAATCCGACTAGGGGGACGAAATGGTGAGTTCGGAGAGGTCTCGGGAAGACTGATTTTTCGATCGATTGGAGATATTGGAGACATCACTGGAGACGGTGGGCAATTCTTGATTGAGTTGAGGACGCCTCGAAGTTGTACAAACTGCTTCATAAGTTTTTGGTCTTGCTGCTTGAGAATTTTCTGTTGGATGAAAAGCAAGGTTTAAGAAAGTAAATAGTTGCTTTCTAAACAGTTAAAACGTGAACATGAGTGCTTTGAAAAGTGACGGAAACTGTTTGACTCAAACGTCTTTAACCGAAGATGCTAGAGGTAGAAGCTTTCTTGGGGGTAAATTTTCCAAAAGGAATGTTATTGCGTAAAATTGAAGATGTAGGGATGTATTAACTTGTTTTCTGTTGCTACCAGCTCGCGCTTCTTCGCTTATGAGAAGATTGGAGACGAGTTGGGAAGAGGGTCGTTGAGGAACATACACTTGTTACCAGTGTTAGACTCCTTGCAGCCCTAACGGCAGCTCGCGTTGCTCAAGGCCTAACTTTCACGCGGGCGAAGAAACGCTCCAGCCAAAGCGTTGTTAATGAGGCCCTAATCCTTCCGTACAGGCTATGTTTGGTGAAACAGATATAAAAGAAGGCGCTATTTTCCCTCAAAGGGTTTTTAATTGTCTCAGTCATTATTTTTTTTTCTCAGCGGGGAATCACTCCGCCCGCCAAAACTCAATGAACGGTTAGCGCCAACAGATCATAGTTATCAAGAATTTCATGCAGCGTAGAATTTTTTCTGTTCAAGTACATGACACTACCTAGCTAACATCTAACTCAAAATGAAGGTGGACAACTAGGTAACCCTTAATTCAAATTCTTCTCTTCTCTAAATTTCCTGCTGTGCAAAAATCTAATTATTTACTTTTAAAACCTCGAAGACACAAAAGCATGTCTGATATTTTCAAGAGGGAAGGGAAACATTTCTGCTCCGCCCAGGTGACACGCGCAACCCAAGGATTCTGTAACACAAACACCGCAGGAATTTTTTCGAGCAGAATCTATTGAAGCAGAAGTTACTCCTAAACGCACGTGTCGAAATGAAAGGTCATTTATTTGGGGCACGACGGCGTGAAGTAAATTGCGTTGTTATTGTTATGAACAGATAAAATCAGTTGAAATAATATTGTCCCTGTTAATGAAAACTATTAACAGTCGGGTAGAAAATTCTAATTGCATTTCTCTGAATCGTAGGAAAAAAAGATTCTTGCGCCTTAATAACCAAGATGTCTTTTACGATATTACGTGTTAATCCCAATACCAAAAGGCGTTTATCCTAAGTACTGCTAACTGAGTTTAATATATTGAGACGGCTACATTCATAATCTCTTGAATAGCCATAATTTTGCTTTAGCACGTAACCAGATTATCTTCGAGTACGATTTTTAAAAACTATTTAACTTGTCATGCACTTACAATTTCTTTAACAATCCACTCTATCGCAGCATTTAGGTCTGTTTTGCGTTCGTGAAACGTCTTCATCTTTCGCTGCTCTTCATTCAAACAAAAAGGAGGTCTGTCATCCATAATCTCGTCAACAGAGCTGATCATAACGCTCGGATGACTTTCTAAGTCGTCTTTCTCCTCCTCGCTCGTGCTCTCTGTAGATTTCTGTCTTGTCATCAGCCACGACATTATCCGTTAATATTGGGGATTAGAGAGGTAAGCCCTGGTGGAATATACTGGATCGCACTGCTGAGTGATAATTACCGAAGCGGTAAGTCTGTCCGTTCTAAATTCTTTGTGGAAATAATTGATGCAGTTTGACAATTGACGAGCCTCGGGTTCTCGTCAAAACAACTTAACAGTGTTGACTGAAGAAGTGTAACGTCCTAACGGTCAAATACGTTGCTTCGACGTAATTGCTGTTTTGTTTAAAGTAACGACTACTATATATTGTGTCAAACTTTTTCTGCAAAGTAACCGGATTTAGTTAAAAAACCTGACGTTTATTCTGAGCACATTTATTCAAATTAGTTGTTTAGAACTTGACGTAATTCGGGTATCACTGCAGCCTGCGTTGCAGCCGGACGTGTCACACAAGCCCCGGTACAGTCCTTCTATACCGGGGTTTAGACCATCCGCGACGCAGGCTAGTATCACTCATGAAAGCGAGATCCGACGATAGACGCAAGCAATGTTTGTTTGACAAGTTGTGTTGTGTATCAAATCGGCATAGGATAAACTTGGACTGGACTCTGGATTGGACCGGACTCTGGATTGGACTGGACTCTGGATTGGACTGGACTCTGGATTGGACTGGACTCTGGACTGGACTGGACTCTGGACTCTGGACCCTAGACTCTGGACTCTGGACTCTAATTTTACTTTTACTGTAATCAGTATCGACAAAATTACGAACAACTATGCGCATCACTATGCGATTAATTGAGTCAATTAATCGACCGGTTTCGTCTTCGAGTGAGACTTCATCAGGATAAACTACAAACTAAGTTACATAACAGGAACTTATTTTATACTAGACCTTGTCAGTACATGTCGCGTTATTAGTTTGGGTGTAAACAACAAAACACCCGCAAGTATTTTCTCACAGGATATGATAAAATTCTCATTAAGTGCGAAAACTCCTCATTTCGCGTTATAGAAACGTGCGAGCAGTAAAGGAAAAGTCTGGAACGAGACTGAAAACGGCGAGAGAGACTAGGTGGAGATCCATTTCCGTTCCGAGTGCATTAGTTTTCCACTGTGACCACTGCCACCGTTCGACGCCATCTTGCTATTTACAGTGTAACTTAAAAAATTCAAGCTTGAATTTTGAATGTCGATTCGAAAGATTGGCGCATGTACCGTCCTGACAGTGTCCGTTTAAGGGATGGCTCTCGTTAAATTTAAAGGGAGTTAGTTTCTCACGTTTGGTTAGTTAGCTAACTTGACAAAGTTCCAGTTTTGTTTTACACATTCTTCAATGATTCGCGGCCAATCATAGTTTGTTTGACAATCATAGTGTTAATCTATGCATGCGGTTTTACCAGCGGTTTTACTAGCTTAAAAAACTGATAAATTTGTCATTGCTTGTGAAAACTCGATGAAAGAATTCCGGCTACCGTAAGTGCTCGAAGTGCTGGAAAAAAGATGAGTTTCGGTACTCGTTACTATATACAAGATGTATACGGTCTACACGGTTTTTTTTTAATGAAATGTGACTTTGTTAAATGGTATGAGTGGCAATGTCCTTTCAAAGTCGCACAGGTTTGCTTTTCATTTCCTTGATAGAAATATCCATGTGAGCACATAGCTCGTTTCGATTTCGCAAAAAGTAGTTTTCTACAAGGTTTTGAATTTAAGGTTAAAACCGTGAGCCCCAAAAACACCTTCAAAAACCACTTTTCTAGCACAGAATTTTATCATATCCTGTGAGAAAATACTTGCGGGTGTTTTGTTGTTTACACCCAAACTAATAACGCGACATGTACTGACAAGGTCTAGTATAAAATATGTTCCTGTAATGTATTAAGTAGTTTATTTTGTAGTTTATTCTGATGAAGTCTCACTCGGAGACGAAATCGGTCGATTAATTGACTCAATTAATAGCATAGTGATGCGCATAGTTGTTCGTAATTTTGTCGATACTGATTACAGTAAAAATAGAGTCCAGAGTCCAGAGTCCAGAGTCCAGGGTCAGGGTCCAGAGTCCAGAGTCCAGTCCAGAGTCCAGTCCAGAGTCCAGTCCAGAGTCCAGTCCAGAGTCCAGTCCAGAGTCCAGTCCAGAGTCCAGTCCAGAGTCCAGTCCTGGTTTTAGCCTATGCCCTTATTTTATACTAGACCTTGTCAGTACATGTCGCGTTATTAGTTTGGGTGTAAACAACAAAACACCCGCAAGTATTTTCTCACAGGATATGATAAAATTCTGTGCTAGAAAAGTGGTTTTTGAAGGTGTTTTTGGGGCTCACGGTTTTAACCTTAAATTCAAAACCTTGTAGAAAACTACTTTTTGCGAAATCGAAACGAGCTATGTGCTCACATGGATATTTCTATCAAGGAAATGAAAAGCAAACCTGTGCGACTTTGAAAGGACATTGCCATTTATACCATTTAAAGATGTCACATTTCATTAAAAAAAAACCGTGTAGACCGTATACATCTCGTATATAGTAACGAGTACCGAAACTCATCTTTTTTCCAGCACTTCGAGCACTTACGGTAACCGGAATTGTTTCATCGAGTTTTCACAAGCAATGAGTTTAAATAGTCAAA